GCTAAATAATTTTTTTTTTCCAACATAGCATGCTACTTAATGAGATTCAAATCTTACCCCAGCCGGATATTTCATTTCAGGTAAAAAGAAGTAAGACAGTGGACCTGGAACTACTTGATCCCTTTTCCTAGATGACGTTTTTTGTTGTGAAATATTGTGAACTTTGTATGAAGTCAGAGTGAGTGACTAAAAAACAATGTACTTGAAATTTAAGTATCCAAGATAATATTGTAATGAATTGATTTTTAGTTTGATAATAATAGATGACTGTATTTTATCTGTTTTTATTTTATTTTATTTAAGTGTGACTTGTCAACTCCGGAAATGGGGTGTCACCACCTCTGAAACACTGACTCATTTTTTTTTGTGAATTGTACGTGTCGGACACATGTCAGACATGGACACGCTCTGACACGCGTTTGACATGCGATCAATATTTTATGATACATGGTCAACTCTTCGACACATTTTTTGACACGCAGTCAACTTTTTTCGACACGTGATTAACGCTCAGACACATTTTTCTTTAGTCTTAATTTTATTTTATTAACTAAAAATAGAAAAAATCATTTATAAATCAATTTTTTTCTATTATGAAATTTGACATGAAAAATTAACAAGGTACGAAAAATTATTTTTGTTTATATTTATATTATGAAATTTAAATATTTGATTGGTTATATGACCTATTATGGATTATATTAAATATAAATTATGTTATATATATTAAAAATATTATTTAATATCAAAACGTGTCCCTACGTGTCAAAATATGCTATTTTTTAAAATTAACGTGTCGGCGTGTCGTATCGTGTCCTGTGTCAGTGTCTGTACATCATAGGTTACCACTGAGCACAAAAATAATAGAAGAAAAAAATATTATAATAAAATATGATGGAAACTTACAAAGCTAATTTCTTTTTCTTCTATTTATTGTTTATCTTGTTTTTTTGTTTTTTCTCTTATTTCTTTTAACAGTGATAGAAAAGATTAAAATTGAAAAAAATGAAAACAAAGAAAAAGAACAAATACATCTAAATAAAAAAAAGAAACTAAACTGAGGAACAAAAGGAAAAAATAGAAGAAAAAATAAGATCAAACATGTTAGAAACTTACAATACTGATTTATTTTTTTTCTATTTATTTGTTGTCTTATTTTTTCTTATATTTTTTTCTTCTCTCCAGTCTATTTCCTTTTTTATGATTTTTTTTTTACTTTTAGTCTTTTTGGTTGCTGTTATGAGTTTTCAATATATTGATTTTATTTTTTCTTCTATTTTTTTTGTCCTGGTCTATTTTATTTTGCATGATTTAGACATATTTGATATTTTTTTTAATTTTTATTTTATTTACTTTTAACTTTTTTTTGTAAGTGTTGCAAGTTTTCAATATATTTTTATTTTTTTAAGAAGGGTAAAGTAAATAGATCAGTTGATTTTATAACGGTGTGGTGTTAACGATGAGTTTGGATTGAAAAATCATAGGGATTAAGTAATTAAGAAAAAAATATACAAGGAATAAGTGATTTAAAATAAAATCATAGGGGAATTTTATAATTTTTTCTATTTTAAATATAAAAAAATACAACAGTGAAAGTAGAAAAGTTATCATTTACCCAAAAAAAAAGTTATCTATATTTATTTCAAAAATGACATCAATTTGGGCTAAAAGATTAAAAAGTTATAATGAGAAAGACTATTATAATTCTTGAAATAAATTATAATTAGAAAAATACCGTGATTTTTATCCCAAAACGATATTATTTTAAACTCAGTATAAATAATTTATCAACATTAACCGTAGAAAAATCAACCTTAAAGATAACATTTCATACTCCAATTTATTGATTTATTTACCATTTAGTTCAAGAAATATTAGAATTTTTATTTTAATCCTCAGGCAAATTTTGACCGGTCTACCTCCAACTCCAAGGCTCCAACCATCTGACCAAGATTCATTAATAGTTTTCAATTCGAACAATAATTTACGATATAAAGGCAGACACGTGAAGCGAACCGTCGTTTCATAAATGTACGAGTCTGTCTTTGGACAGGGTTAAAGAAGAAAAGGAAATACTAGAGTTTAAATAAGGATTAAAATATTTTTTTAATTTTTTTTTTGGTAAACATTTTTTTAATTCTTTATGCATATGATAAAAAAGTTGGAAAAAAACTACTCTTATGTTACATGAGACAAATTTATCTCCTACACATCACTCGATAATTGTGTCATCTTTTTTTTCAGATGGTGGAGCCCACAAGTTTATCTCTATGACATGAGATAATTTATTTCTTTTAAATGAGATTAATAAAACTCAAAAAAGTTTGTTATTTAGTTTTTGTAAATATAATCATTTGTAATATTTTCTTTATCACATGTTATCATTATAATACTGTGAAATTAATAAAAATAAATTTTTTTATTTAAAATTTAAATTAAAAAAATCACTCACTTTTTTCCTCATAATTTTTATTTCTTGTATTTATCTCTCTCTTAAAATGACATAAACTTATGTCATTTAAAAAGACAAACATCAAACCCAATTTTAAAACAAAATGTTCTTAAAAAAGTCACAAAAAGTATAAATTATTGTATTTCTCATTAAAAATTGTCGTTAAATTTTATTTAATTTTTAATTATATTCCTTAAACAAACTTTTTTTATACATTTTAAAAATTCAGTATTAATAAATATATCAACAGATTCTTTTTCTTTTCTTGAAAAAAGTACTTCATATACACAAAAAAAAAAAACTAAAATTATGTGGGGAGTAACATTATTCTAATACTCTTATTCTAAATGATGTATATAAAAAAAAAAACATTATTCTAATTTTTTTTTTGAAAAGTTAGAGGAGGAACTATGGATGTGATCACCTTCCTTTTTCTTCATTGATTTTGCTGCCAGCTTTTCGGCAATGTGTCCGTTGCAGTGGTTGGTTTGACAAAATATGTTAATGGCACCAAATAAATAATAAAAAAAAAGGGGAAATAATGGGAAGAAGTCAAGAGAAAAAAGCTGTGGGTGATGCCGCGGTTGAAAGCAAAATGTCAAACGCTACGATTTAGATTTTTGGGAACTGAGGTTTGACAGCTCCTTCGCCTCGTTCACTGCGTCACTACCCCTATTCTCCCGCTTTTTCTATTTTTATAATCGTAATAACAATATTTTCAATTCTCGCTCTTTTTCTGTTAACCAATTCACATTTTAATCAAATATTTTTATTTATAATTTATCAAGATTTGCTGCAAATTTTTTTTTTTTACCCCGCTGACAAAATAAAATAAAATGAGTGAGTCTTGTTATAAAAAGAAAAGAGAGAACAAATTAATAAAATTTACTCACTTTTATGTTACTGTGACAATATTTTTTTCTGAAGTAATAACATAAATATTAGACCCATGAAAAATATAGTTTTTATGTTGCATGAGATAATTTAATCTCATGTAATATGAGAAATAATAATGCATAACATTATTATATACTTTAAATAAAGGAAAAAATGTCTCAGGAGATAAAATTATCTCATGGAACTCTAAAACTATGTCGGTTCGAAGGTTGAAGGAATTAATAAAAGATATATTAATTTTACCAAAATACTTATAAATTTCCTGAAACCTCAAAATGACGTAGTTTCAAGATTGTTGGAAATAAATTTATCTTCTGTGATAAGAGAAACAATAAATTTAAAAAGGAAAAAAATGTTTCTCCTTTGAGGGTTGGGAAAATAATGAAAATATATTTTATCAAGATTTGTATCTCTTAGAGTATAATATAAGGGGTTTATGTTCGTCCTGTTATAGGATGGACTTTAGGGTTCTGGAAGATACTATGTCCTCAAACATAAAATGTCTTCACACACTAATACGAGACTTTTCAGCGTGCTTTATTCTCACTCGTACATTTTTCATGAAAACTTTCCATGAGGTCACCCATTCTATAATTGTTCCAAGTTAAACACGTTTAACTATAGAGTTCTTCCGTTCTGGACTATCGAAAAATAGATGCATTTAGTACCAATTAATTCTTATAAATTATCCCTAACTGTACAGTCCCATACCTGCACAATCTCTAAAATTTCTCTCTTCCGAGTGTTGATTCGATTCATTCATGTACTCCATTGAAAGCCTGTTAGAAGCCATTCATTTTTTGTGTCCTTTTACAACAATCACTCTTCACTGTTATCGGTGCTCGGAATGTTACAAGTGTCTTTGAAAATAAACTTTATAACAAAAGGTGTTATAAAGCTGCAATATAGTATCATTGTAATTCCAAATTGAACCCCCCCCCCCTAGTTTCATTTATGTTCAATGAAATTTAAATAAATTGGAGAACATTGGAAAGTGTGAATAGGGTTTAGCAAATTGTGTTTATACGTTGTAATAAGGTTGGCTTGGAAGACGACGAAACCGTAGATAAAATATCTTCCCTCAAATTGCTTTTCACTTTGTATAATTTTCCGACCACAACTGTACAATACCTACCCACCACCACCATTCCTCTACCCTTCTCTTGACTAGCTAGTTTAAATTCCATGCATCATATCATATCATATGGTAACATCATATAATAATAAATAATAATAATAATAACAACATTATGCTTAGGAACATATAAATAAAATCAAAATGCACAAGGACGAAGAGCTAACCGCCGTAACGAGTGTCACCTCTTCCTCCCTTTTCTTGTTTTGCACCCCATGGATGGGAGATATCAGAACCATCCAAAAGGCAAAAGGCATAGAGAACCGTGTTAGAAAAAAAGAGAGAGAGGGAATCCTATAGCCACTGTCCCAATCTTCACAACGTTATCTGCTTGTAATAACTTAGCATATGCTTCTTACAAATTTGACAAAAAAAAAAAAACACAAACACACACACACACATGGATTTGTTTTAACTTATGTTATATAATATATATAATACCCCCCCTTAATTATTTCACCTAGAAAAAGTGCATCACATGTTCAAAAATTTTCCAATCTTATTTTGCTCCCCCAAATGGCTGCTTGTGTTTTGTTCAATGGTGAAGACGGAAGTGGAAGTGGTAATAGTCCTTTAACAACAAGTGCCTCTAACTCCAACAGCAACATGAGTGGTGAAGAACACCACACACTTCAACAACAACAACAACAACATGGTATGCCTCAGCAGCTCCGAAAAATAGTGAGAAAGAGAATGGCTTCTGAGATGGAAGTAGTTCATCCCACACCACCACCACCACCACCACAATACAACTCTTCCTCCACCACAACCATTGATTATCCTAGGTTTCCTCGCCGAAGCACCACCAACATAACAGCAGAAAAAGGGGTCAAAACAACAACCTTAGCCGCAGGTATTTGTAACTATGATTATAATAATAATAATAATAATAGTAATAGTAATAATAATAACAGTAACACCATCAATAATAATAATAATAATAATAATAATACTTCATCAAGAGATAACGTTGGTGTTCCAAATTACCCCACTGTGACGGTCACAACCAACTACTCCACTATGCTTCTACCTTCTTCTTCTGCTTCTGCTATCTCTATACCTTCTGCTACTACCATTCACCACCATCATTTTCAAGGACTTGAAAGCCAAGACCAGAACAACAACCCTGTACCTGCAGTGTGTGGATTCTCTGGTTTGCCACTGTTTCCATCTCAAAGCCAAAGAAATAGAGACAACAACAACAATAACAACATCAGAAACAGTAGTAGCAGTACTATAAGTGGTGGTAACATTGTTGACGTGGTTGCTTCTTCTTCTCCTTCCATGGAAGACAACTCAGGTAATTGGATTGATGGTATATTGAAGGATCTTATCCACAGTTCAAACAGTGTTTCCATTCCTCAGCTTATCAACAACGTGAGGGAGATTATATATCCTTGCAACCCAAACCTTGCTATGGTTCTTGAATATAGGCTTCGTCTTCTCACTGAGTCCACCACCTCACAAAACTCAAAAAGGACCAATGAAACTGTGCCTAATCCTATGTCCTCAGTGAAGCTCATGAATCATGGCATTGTTCCTCCCAATTTGCATTTCACAGATTCATCAGGTTCTGCTGTTATGAATCAACATATGTTGTCCAATTGGGTTGTTCCTCCTCCTCCAATCACCACTCACCACCACCATGGCAACAACAACAATAACCCTTCAGTTTCATTGGTTACTTTACCTTCACCACCATCAACACAACAGGGTTATTCTCCACCACAAGAGAAGCATCAGCAGCAAGAAAATCAAAACCACCCTCAGATTAATCAAGAGGAAGATCTCTCAGCAGCAGCAGCAGCAGCAGCAGCAGCAACAGCTAGCAGCACTGAAATGGTGGTAACAAGAAAGAAGAAAGAGGAGATGCAACAACAGAAGAAGAAAGATGAAGAAGGGTTGCACCTCCTCACTTTGCTTCTTCAGTGTGCAGAAGCAGTTTCAGCTGAGAATCTAGAAGATGCAAACAAGATGCTGTTAGAGATTTCCCAACTCTCCACGCCATTTGGTACATCAGCACAACGTGTAGCAGCATATTTCTCTGAAGCCATATCAGCAAGACTAGTGAGTTCATGCTTGGGAATATACGCAACACTTCCACATACCCATCATAGCCACAAGGTAGCATCAGCTTTCCAAGTCTTCAATGGGATTAGTCCTTTTGTGAAGTTCTCACATTTCACAGCAAACCAAGCAATTCAAGAAGCATTTGATAGGGAAGAGAGGGTGCACATCATAGATCTGGATATAATGCAAGGTTTGCAATGGCCTGGTCTCTTTCACATTCTGGCTTCAAGACCTGGTGGACCCCCTTATGTGAAGCTCACTGGACTTGGTACCTCCATGGAAGCACTTGAAGCTACGGGTAAGCGTTTATCTGATTTTGCAAATAAACTTGGCCTTCCCTTTGAGTTCTTTCCCGTTGCTGAAAAAGTTGGGAACCTTGACCCTGAGAGGCTCAATGTTAGCAAGACTGAAGCTGTTGCTGTTCATTGGTTGCAACATTCCCTCTACGATGTCACTGGTTCAGACACAAACACTTTGTGGCTCTTGCAGAGGTTGGTAAATTTTAGGTGTTGCATTCATGTATAATATATAATTTACACCTTCATGAGTTATATAGCTGATATATGAGCTTAGTGGTTGTTTAGTTTGTGGATATATAGAAATAGTACTTTTCATGAAAGAATTCCCAAAACTTTTTTTCACCTTTATAGACTCTAGCATTCACTTTATGTCTGCCTTTTTTTCTTTTCTAAGCTAAATTGGAAACAATGATTATGTCTTGTTGTCAATTACTCTGCATATATATATATATGTGTGTGTATTAATGGACATAATGTATATACTATATAGAAAGTTCTGAAAGACATGGCTTTCATGTTATGATTACTAACATTGGCTTTTTTCTTTTTTTCTTTGTTTTTTCTATGTAAATAATTTCTGATAGCTTCTGAATTCATTGCATGGGACTTAATTGTATTATGCAGACTGGCTCCTAAAGTGGTGACAGTGGTAGAGCAAGACCTGAGCAATGCTGGTTCTTTCTTAGGAAGGTTTGTGGAAGCCATACACTACTATTCAGCACTTTTTGATTCCCTTGGTTCAAGCTATGGGGAAGAAAGTGAGGAGAGACATGTGGTGGAACAGCAACTACTTTCTAGGGAGATTCGTAATGTTCTTGCAGTTGGAGGGCCATCAAGGACTGGAGAACTCAAGTTCCATAACTGGAGGGAAAAACTTCAACAGTGTGGTTTTAGAGGTATCTCACTGGCTGGTAATGCTGCTACACAAGCTAGTTTACTCCTTGGGATGTTCCCTTCTGAAGGGTATACCTTAGTGGAGGACAATGGTATCCTTAAACTTGGTTGGAAAGACCTTTGCTTGCTTACTGCTTCAGCTTGGAGACCTCCCTTTCATAGTAGCTCATCCATTAACTAAATTTGATTTTAATCTTCTGTAGCATCCCTCTGTTCCTTAATTAAAAGAGAGATTGTTAGGTGTTTCCAAGGCATGCATGTGATTTTTTTTTTTCTTGCTAAATGTGTACCACTTTCAAGTAATGGCATTAAATATATAGCTAAAGTTAGAAGCACTACCATGTAGTTGAAGTGGTACACATTTAATGATATAAAGTGAGAAAATTCTCTTGCTTAGGGAGCACTTGAGGATTTTTCTGTTAGTATTTTCATTGAGAGAACTTATTAGGATGTTACTATGATATTCTGAATTTTATGGGTACCCATATAGCCTTAATTAGTGAGTTGGTTATTAGTTGCTGGTTTTCTCACTAAATGTTTAGAGTTGATTACAAGTATTGGCTGTTATTCACTATTGTTTACAGAAATTTTTATGGGAAAACTATTTCCTTATAACTATGTCCCACATAGTTATAATATGGAGATTGTTTATTTTTTTCTCTCTATTCAATTTTTTTTTTCAGACTTTGTAGGTTGACGTAGAGAGAGAGAAAAAAAAAACTTTCATATTATAACTATGTATTTTTTGAAGTATATAGTTATAAGGGGTGAATTTACATAAGCTTATATTCTTTGAAAGTACATACTAAACTCAATTTTTATTACCACTAATTGACCATTGTTGGTTGTTTAGTTTGGTTCGTAAAGTGATTTGAATGGCTTCTCAACCTGATTGATCCCAATTAATAATAATAATAATTTCGTAAAAATATTTAATATAGAAGGGAGAAGGTAAGCCAAGGTTGAGGAAACAGTCTCAATTAGTTTTGAAGTTTGAACCCAATAACAAGTAATCCAAAAAAATAAATAAATAAAATATGGTGCCACTTGCGTTTAAGCTTTTAAACAAAATATTTAAATCTTTAATCCATGTCAAACTCTTATTCCTTTGTGATTTGTTTTTTCATTTTAGGTAATAGGACTGAATTTATATGTTTAACATTTTTCAGTTGAGTAATTTCAAATGCTGTTTCACTTTGTTCGGTACTACTATAAGTATCAGTTCATATGCTCATAAAGTTTGTATAGAGTATATTCCGATTATTGTTAAGGCTTAATATCTTATAGTTCATTTACAATTTACAAATCCAAATAGCATCTTAAGATCTATGCTTGATGTTAGATTTCAAACTCTGTCTAGTTTTGATAATAATAAACAAGTGAAGTCAAGATATTTGATAGTATCTTTATTTTGGTTATAATATAATAGTATCTTTAGTTTTCGAAAATTTGTTGTCGAATTTACTGTGATGAATTTGAAGAAATGAACATAATAAAATCGTCATGCAAAGTTGTAAGATAAAATTTTACAATTTCATGTAATGATTCGATGAGGTGAATGCTGATCATGTCCTTTTTGAAAACTAAGCGAGAAAGATAGAATTTTTTTATTTTAAATCTAAATAGATTTTTAAGATTTGATTTTTGATATGAAAAAGAAAAAGTTAATTTTAAATTTTAAATTTTAAATTCCTTTTTGAAAGATTTAATTATGTTTTATTGAATTTTGAAAAATTAAATTTAAAATTAAGATTCTATTTTTTTTTTTAAAAATTAAAATTTTTTCTTAAAAATTATGATAACTTTGAAAAATAAATTTAATATAAAAGTTTACAAATTTTTTCTATTAATTAATTTTGAGAAAAAGCCTATAAAAATTATATTGTGAGTTTTTCTAAACGTTCAAGAGAAAAAACACATTAAGCGTATTGTAAGTACTATTACAATTGTTATAGAATTCAAATGTTATGAATAAGAAGTTGAGTGTGAAGAAATGTGTCTTTTCATTGTGAATAGACACAACTCTTCACCGCTAATAGGCATTATTTATCATGGTTTATAAATATGGAAGAAAATCAGAATAAACTGGTTACTTTTATGATTTCTAATATTTTTTTGAAATCTTTGCATTCATTTTGTGATGTTGTTCAAACGAAGGTTGCAACCGCTGATGCTATTTGTTTGAGAGTGTCGTCAACAAATAGAGGTAATTCGTTTTATCTTGGTTGACAATTGTCATTCACTCTTAGGCACCATAGAGAGGCAAATTATCTTAAGGACCACCGTATCTAAGACTGGATTTTATTCTTTCATTTTACTATTAATTTGCATTGTTTATCTATTCATCAACTTCATTATTGATTGCATCCACTTTTCAAACACAGATTTCCCTCATTTTTCCATTGGTGTGCATTTTGCACCAACAAGTACTTTTTTCCTAAAATGCATTGAAAATAATTTGAGAACCAAAAAACAACACTTGATTTGCATAGTAATTCATCACCTTACTCTCTTCAAAGTACACTCAACCAATATATTTGCAAATTATTTGAAGTTTTCTCTTTGTTTGCTATTTTGAATAACCTAAACCAGTTGAACACTATAATGATGTATAGTTTTGTCTTTCCTATTGTCTTAATTGGTAAATGGCTCATATAGCCTTATGCCTCTTTACCGAGTAGTTTAGGAATCATTCAATTATGTGAAGTGTGAACTGTGCACATTTATTAATCTCATGGTTAGAGTTTGAGTCACCAAAGATTTTATTACCAATTTTTCATTCTTGATTCTCTCCATTTTTTTAATCAAATTTGTTCCATTTCTATTCATGCTAACCATAATTACATTGTCCTTTTTAAAATCAAATGTTCAAGTTAAAGAAGCCAGTTGGCTGAAAAATCACATTTCCTTCTGCTTCAGACCTTTTTTCCAGTTAGTTTAACAACATAGACATTAGTTAAAGTACTTTAACATCATAGTTATCAATATTTTACTGTTCTCAGCCATTACTTAAGTGACTTCATCACTAAACTTATGCATGAGTATATCACTTTCCACACACTACATTATTTAAAATTTTTAAAGTCCTTCAACAATAATGTTGGTGTCTTTATTCTTGATTTTGTTTGAGGATGCAACATTTCAGCTTCAACAGACTTTGGTTATTACATATTGAACTGTCTTCTAATTATATAGAAGTGAAAAATTGGGGAAAACTTTAACAAGGTTGAAAGTTTGGAAATTCAGAAATTAGGTAGGGTGTCATTTGTCATTGTGGCAAGCAACAATTCACCACAAGAAGAGGTTCGATACCAATATCTCAACCTAAAATCTTAAAACGTTAGGTTTATGGATTATTCTATTTATATGATACTCACTTAATCCATTTTTAATTAATGTGAGACTTCACTACTTAGACTTAAATTCCAACCATCTTTTGCATTAGCTGGGTAGATTATATAGCATGCTTGATTTGGGTCTTGTTTTGAATGCATGCCTAGACCACATGCTTGGATTCAACCTCATTAACCAACCATATGATTATCCAATTTATTGATTTTTATGTGAAAACCAATTTTTTGTTTTTTTTTTGAGTAAACTCAGGTGTCCCCACTCATAGAATGAGACTAATCCCTTCGTGGTTTGGAGCGAGAAAGTTTTTCTCACAGACCCCAAAATGCTTCTCGTATGAATCGAACTCATGACTTCATCAGCCACTAGAGCCCGACCCTTGAACTGCAGTCCGCGTGCAAACCAAATTTATCTTTTGTGGTTTCTCTCAGCTGATTCCATAATTCATCTTTTAATCTTTTAAGTCTCTTCTCTTGAGTTTGAAATTCAAATACAAGTATCTTAAACAAAACATGTGATCATAGCACGTACTGTTAAGTGTCTGTCAAGCCCTGCAACAAAATTCAAATAAAGATTAATATACAATTTGTAAGTAATTTCATCAATAAATTAGTAATACATGTTCATCAGTAATCTTTCAAGAACATGAAAGGGGATCTTTAGAATTCATGGTTTTCACATAAGAGTGTACCTTTCTCCATTAGTGCGGAAGAACTTTGATGATGGAACGTCGTTTCTCAGAGCCTTTACCCTATGCTTTTCTTGTATCTTCTTTGACAGGAATTGGATACAACTATGATGGGAAGACAATGAAGGAGAGAAATTCTGAGAGAACTGTTATCAGAGACTCACAAGTTTTTCTTTTACGTAACTGAACCATGTCACCAGTTATAGAGTTTTAAGTAACTCCCTGTAACTTTCCATTAATGCGAAACGTCAAAACGTCAATTACCATTAATGCGAAATGTCAATTACCATAAAGCCTCCTTTATTATTAATTAAATCAATTGACACACGTTACATATGAGACACAAATAGTTTTACATTCTCCCACTTGGCTCATGTCCCTTCATGATTTAATTAACATTCACTATAATGCGCATTTACTAGGCTAAAGGTTCCATACATTGACGTCATCATAATTCATTATTAGAAATAAAATCAACATGAGTCATGGCGGTTGTATGCTATCAAGTCGGCATAGTCCCTTCCATGTACCACTATATTGACTCTTCTTCCTAACATGATACTTTAATAGGAAGTACACATTATGTCCAATAATAATGTCTTCATTATGGACCACAAATATTTTCAATATCATCACATATACTTGCATGCATACATAAATTGAAAACAAGACAATTCAGAAACATATATTCATCAATGAGCTCAGAGTGTCAAGACTTAATACATAATAATAATTATCATCATTCACTAGCTGACATAATGCCCATTCTACATACATGACCAGTAAATGTCTTGGGCGGTAATCCCTTCGTCAAGGGATCAGCTATCATAAGATCGGTGCTAATATGCTCTATAGACACTTTGTTTCTGAACCTCTTCTTTAACGGCAAAGTACTTTAATTCCATATGTTTAGCACCTTTGGAATATTTGTCGTTTTTAGAAAAGAAGACTGCTGCGGAATTATCACAATAAATTTTCAGCGGCTTTTCAATATTGTCGACCAATCCAAGCCCTGAAATAAAGTTTAGCCTGAATCGTGGCTTCAAAGCATGCCACAAATTCAACTTCCATAGTGGACGCAGCTATTACAGTCTGCTTTGCACTTTTCCATGATATAGCTCCTTCAGCTAAAAGATACAGTA